CCCATCCGCCAGCTAGGATTATGGGCACAGGCCCAAAACATGTATGTGGACATGCCAGGCTGACCCAAGAATGAAATCCCCTCGTCCATGTGCTTCCAGCCCTGCAGAGTGCTGCACTGTCACTGTGCCCCCCCCTTTTAATAGCGCTTCATGGGGGTGTAGTTTACACATCACAAAATTCTCCAGTTGAAAGTGTACACATAAATGACTTTTAGAAAACCTACAGAGTTTGTAACCATCACTCTGATCTGTTTGTAGATGGTTTTGATCGCCTTAAAAGTTCCTTGAGCCCGTCTACAAAGTCAGCCCCCGTTCTGACCATCGGTCTACACCCTCTTTCCAGTTTTGTCGTTACTAGGAATGTCAGGAACCATACAGCAGGTAGTCTCTTGCTTCTCTCACGTAGCGTGCTGCTTGCGGGGCCCTCCCATGCTGTTGTGAGCGTCAGTAGTCCATTCACAGCCATGATAGTCCACTGCAGCACGCGCCGGCTCCTACGTTCACTGGCTGGCGAGCCCTGGGTGGCCCCCAGTTTTTAGCTGCTCCTTACGAGTATTGCCGCCATGCATGTGCACGTGTTAGCCGTTGTGCAGACACGTGTCTTCGCTTCTCCTGGCGACCGAAAATACGAACCTGGGACCAGCAGGTGACGCAACGGTTATGTCACTGGACTCCCACATGACCGACTATCATTCCAGTCCCAGACCTGGTGGCTTGAAAATCGCGCTGGGCACATGTGGGTGAGTGTCCAGGATCTTGGGAGGAGAAGGGATTGCAGCTTGGCTATCCCTCCTGGGGGGTGATTTCTTACTTTTCCTCTCACTGTCTCTTTTTCTCCAGCGTACACATGCCCTAGGGCAAAAAAACTCTTTTTTTTTTTTTCCTAAATAAGAAGTTGGGACCTTTTCGAATGCCACATAAAAAAAAATTTAATTAAAAATGGATTGTAGGAAAAAGAATGGATTGTGGATCCAGGGCCGGTCCATCATGTGATGGTTAAAGTGGCTGGATCCCACATAGCTGATCGTGTGGTCTCAGGCCTGGCTTTCTCACTCTTTCTCTGTCTCTGTCTTTCTGGTGAGTGTACACATCCTTTGTCAAACATTTAAAAATTATAGATCATAGAGGGCTGGCAGGTGGTGTGGTGGTTAAAGTGCTGGACTCTCACATGGCCGACCATGGTTTGAGTCTCAGACCTGGCAGCTTGTTTTCTCACGTTCTCTCTCTGTCCTCTCATCAAGTTAAACAAAATAATGAATGAAACAATTAAAAATATAGAGATCATAGACCCAAATGTAAGAGGTAAGAGTATAAAACTTATTTTTTTGGAGAGGTTTTTGCTATAGGATGTGTGCCCTCGCCAGAAAGACAGAGTGACAGAAAGCAAGAAATCACCCCCAGGGGGGATGGCCATGCCGCAATCCCTTCTCCTCCATTCTCCTCTCGGGATCTTGGGCACGCACGCACACGTGCCCGGCGTGAGTTTAAGCCACCGGGTCCGGGACTCGACCCGCTGTCGGCTACATGGGAGTCCCGCGACATAGCCATTACGCTAACTGCTGGTCCCTTAAAATTACTTCTTTCTTTTTTTTTTTTTTTAAGAGGTTTTTGCTATAGGATGTGTGCCCTCGCCAGAAAGACAGAGTGACAGAAAGCAAGAAATCACCCCCAGGGGGGATGGCCATGCCGCAATCCCTTCTCCTCCATTCTCCTCTCGGGATCTTGGGCACGCACGCACACGTGCCCGGCGTGAGTTTAAGCCACCGGGTCCGGGACTCGACCCGCTGTCGGCTACATGGGAGTCCCGCGACATAGCCATTACGCTAACTGCTGGTCCCTTAAAATTACTTCTTTAATTTTATTATTTTTTTAAATTTGCTGTAGGTCATATGCACTCAATAGAGAGAGACATATAGAGAGAAAGGGAAAGTGAGAAAGCAAGCCACCAGGTCCAGGACGCGAACCATGGTCAGCGTCTCAACTACCATGCCACCTGTTGGCCCCAGAGTATAAAATTCTTAGAAGAATGGGGCTGGCAGGTGGCATGGTGGTTAGGGGCATTGGACTCCCATGTGGCCAACCATGGTTCAAGTCCTGGACCTGGTAGCTTGATTTCTCACTTTCTAGTCAAATTAAAAAGTAATAATAACAGTAACAAATAAAGTAATTTTTAAAAATTAGAAACTTACACTGCAAGGACACTGCCAAGAAAGTGAATCTTTTTCTTTTTCTTTTCTTTTTTTACTGTAGGGTGTGTGCACTTGCTGGAAAGACAAAGAGCCAGAAAGGGAGTAATCACCCCCAGGGGATGGGGTAGCCACACCACAATCCCTTCTCCATTCTCCTCTCAGGATCTTGGCATGCACTTTTTTTTTTTTTAGGAATTATTTTATTGGGGCCTGCAGTTA